TTTGAGGATTTGTTGTTGGGGGATTTAATTTTTTGAGTTCCAGTTATATTTTAGATATGAGACCATAAGACCCTTGTCTGTTGTATGGCTAGTGAAGATCTTCTCCCAGTCTGTGGGCTTCTATTGACCTTGCTAGCTCTGTCCTTTGCCATGCAGAAGCTCTGCAATTTCATGCAATCCCATTTGTCCAACCTTTCTTTGATTTATTGTGTTTCTGAGTCTCTTTTAAGAAAATTTTGGCCTGTGCCAAGGAGACCTAGGGTTTCTCCTATTCCATCCTGTAATGTTTTCAGAGTGTCTGCTTTGACTCCAAGGTCTTTGATCCTTTTGGAGTTGATTCTGGTACAGGGTGATATGTAAGGATCTGGCTTTACTTTTCTACAAGTGATTAACCAGTTTTGCCAGCACCATTTACTGAAGAGGCTGTCTTTCTTCCATTCTATTTTTTAAGCTCCCTTATTGAAGATTAGATGGCTATAGGTCTGTGGGTTCATTTCTGTGCTTTCAATTCTATTCCATTGGTCCCAGGTCTGTTCTTGTGCCAGTACCAAGCTGTTTTGGCTTTGTAATAGAGTTTGAAATTTGGTATTGATATTCCTCCAGCACTGTTCTTTCTGTTAAGGATCTTTTTTGCTATTTGGGGTCTTTCATTGTTCCATATAAATTTTTGGATTGCCTCTTCTATTTCCTTGAAGAATGAGGTTAGAATATTGATAGGTACCGCACTGAATTTGTAGATAGCTTGGGAAATATTGCCATTTTCTCAATGCTGATCCTTCGAATCCAGGAGAATGGGAGGTTTTCCCACTTTCTAAGTTCTGCTTTCATTTCCTTTTTCAGGTTTTTCAAGTTTTCATCATAGAGGTCCTTCACTTCTTTGGTTAAGTTAATTCCTAGGTATTTTATTTTTTGTGGTGCTATTATGAATGGAGTTGTTTTCCTGATTTCAGCCACGCTTTTCTCATTGTTGGCATACAGAAAAGCCATTGATTTTTTTTTCGGGGGGGTCCGGTCATGGGGCCTGAACTCTGGGCCTGGGCGCTGTCCCTCAGCTCTTCAGCTCAAGACTAGCGCTCTACCACTGGAGCCACAGCACCACTTCCAGCTTTTTTCTTTTTGCTTATGTATGCTAAGGAATCGAACACAGGGCCTCGGGCATGCAAAGCAAGCACTCTACCACTGAGCCACCTTCCCAGCCCCAAGTCATTGATTTTTGATGGTTAATTTTATACACTGCTACTTTGCCAAAGTTTTTTTTTTTTGTGAACATACTGTACAGAGGGGTTACAATTACATGGGCAAGATAATGAGTACATTTCTTATCAAGCATTTCAGCCTCCTTTTTTTACCCTTCACATCCCTTCCCAGCCTCTCCCCCTCCATCCCCCCACCCAATTCTCCCCTCCTCCACCAAAGTTGTAAAGTTCGTTTTCGACATGACAACTTGTACTTCTCATTGTTGCAACGGGTCCACCTGTATCCTTAAACGACTTGTTTTTCCCCTTCTCCTCCACAAATTATATCGACATCAAATATAGTGAAAGCAGGGGTTACACTGTGGGGGAGGGACATACCAAGCAACAAAGAGATAATCTTCTAAATGCGTTAGAAACAAATGCATGAAAGAAAAGTTTTGAATCAGCTTGAGTAATTTGGGAGTATAGTCTATGGGATTTTTTAAATACAAGATCATGTCATCTGCAAAGAGGGAGAGTTTTACTTCATCTTTCCTTATTTGGATCCCTTTTATGTTTGCATCTTGTCTTATTGCTGTCGCTAGGCATTCTAATACTAGATTGAAGAGAAGTGGAGAGAGTGGACATCCTTGTCTCATTCCTGAGTTTAGAGGAAATGGCTTTAGTTTTTCACCATTAAGGATAATGCTGGCTGTAGGTTTGTCATATACAGCCTTTATTGTATTAAGGAATGTTCCCTGGTTTCCTAGTTTTTCCAGAACCTTCATCATAAAGGGGTGTTGGATCTTTTCAAATGCTTTTTCTGCATCTATTGAGATAACCATGTGGTTCTTTTTCATCATAAAGGGGTGTTGGATCTTTTCAAATGCTTTTTCTGCATCTATTGAGATAACCATGTGGTTCTTATCCTTGCTCTTGTTGATGTGTTAAATTATATTAATTGATTTGCATATATTGAATCAGTTTTGCATCCTTGAAATGAATCCTGTTTGATCGTGGTGTATGATTTTTTGCATGAATTGTTCAAGTCGATTGGCCAACATTTTGTTGAGAAGTTTTGCATCAATGTTCTTCAAAGAAATGGGTTTATAGTTCTCTTTCTTTGATGAGTCCCTGCCTGGTTTTGGGATGAAGGTTATGATGGCTTCATAGAATGAGTTCAGTAGTGAACTTTCTCTTTCAATTTCATTGAAGAGTTGGAGGAGTATTGGTGTGAGCTCTGCTTTGAAGGCCTTATAAAATTCCACTGTAAATCCATCTGGTCCTGGGCTTTTCTTAGATGGGAGGTCTCTTATTGCTGTTTCTATTTCAATGCTTGATATGGGCCTGTTAAGATGGTTTAACTCATCTTGGTTTAGTTTCGGCATGTCGATATTTGCTAGGAAAAGGTCCATTTCTGCCAAGTTCTCAAAGTTATTAGTATAAAGGTTTGAGAAGTATTCCCTTATAATGTTCTGAATCTTGGTTGTTTTTGTAGTGATGTTCCCATTCTCGTCTCTGAGTTTATTTATTTGGGTGTGTTCTCCTCTATTTCTGATACGAATTGCTAAGGGTCTGTCAAATCTGTTAATTTTTTTCCAAGAACCAACTCTTTGTTTTGTTGATTCTTTTCTATGTTTTTGGAGTCTAATTCATTTAATTCTGATTTAATTTTAATGATTTCTTTCCATCTACTGGATTGGGATTTACCTTGTTGCTCTTTTTCAAAGAGGTTTAGATGTGTCATTAAATTGTTGGTTTCAGATCTCTCCAATTTGTTGATGTAAGAACTCAGAGCTATAAAATTCCCTCTGAGTAATGCCTTTGCTGTGTTCCATAGGAGCTGGTAATTTGTGTGTTCATTTTTGTTGAATATCATGAACATTTGAATTTCCTTTCTAATCTCTTCCATGAGATTAGAGCAGTGTGTGTTGCTCAGCCTCCATATGTTACAGGACTTTCTTTGGTGGCTTTTGGTGTTGAGTTTTAATTTTATTCCCTTGTGTTCTGAGAGAATGCAAGATATAACTTCAGTTTCTGAATTTGGATGTTTGCTTTGTGGCCTAAAATGTGATCTATTTTGGAAAAATTTCCGTGTGCTGCTGAGAAAAACGTGTATTCTGATGATGCTGGGTGAAATATTTGCTAGATGTCTGTTAAATCTAGTTGATCCATGCAGTTGTTTAGATGTGCCGTTTCTTTGTTGAGTTCTTGTCGAGTTGATCTATCTAGTGGGGATAGTGGTGTGTTGACGTCCCCAACAATTAATGTCTTTGGATCTATGTGAGATTTGAGGGAAAGTAGTGTTTCTTGGATAAATTTGGGTGCTCCATTGTTTGGTGAATAGATATTTAGAATTATAATATCCTCCTGAAGGAGAGATCCCTTAATTAGTATGTAGCCACCTTCGTTATGTCTTCTCACTAATTTTAATTTGAAGTCTATTTTATCTGATATTAGGATTGCAACTCCCGCCTGTTTATGGGGGCCATTTGCTTGGTAGATTTTGTTCCACCCTTTCACTTTCAAAATGTGTTTTTGTTTGTTTTTTTTTAATGGGCAATTTGTGACTCCTGAAGGCAGCAGATAGAAGGATCTTGCTTTTTAATCCAACTAGACAGTCTATGTTGCTTAATTGGGAAGTTAAGTCTGTTAATGTTGAAAGTTAGGACTGAAGTGTTTGGTAGTTCCTTCCATGTTATCCACCTTCTTGGGAATGCGACAACTGGGTTCTTCCTATGGTTCTTGGATACTCAGTTTGGATGCAGTTTCTTGGCCTTTATTGTAGTCTTTTTGGTTTTCTATGTGTAGGACATCTTTAAGTATCTTTTGGAGGGCTGGTTTGGTGGAGATAGATTGTTTCAGTTTTTCTTTGCTATGGAGGGTTTTTATTTGACCTTTGGTTATGAAGGAGAGTTTAGCTGGGTACAGTATTCTTGGTTGATAATTGTTTGTCTTTAGGGCATGACATACATCATTCCAGGCTCTTCTTGCTTTAATTGCCTCTGCGGAGAAATCTGAGGTGATTCTAATTGGTTTCCCTTTATAGGTGATTGATCTTTTCTCCTTGACAGCTTTAAGGATCTTTTCCTTGGTCTGAATTGATCCTGTGCAGATTATAATGTGATGGTGGGATGTCCTGTTCTGGTCTGGTCTATTTGGGGTTCTAAGAACTTCTTGTATCTGAATAGGCCTATCTTTTTGCATGTTTGGGAAGTTCTCTGCTAGGATCCTGTTAAACAAATTTCCTAGCCCATTAAGTTCTGTCTCTGGGTGCTTCTCTATACCCATTATCCTCAGATTAGGCCTTCTGATGGTGTCTTCCAAATGTTGAATAGATCTATCATATTTCTTGGATTTGTCTTGGATAGTTGTATGTTCTTTTGTCAAATATTTCTGAAAGAGAAATACCATAAACCAGTAGATTAACAAGTGTGTGTGTGTGTATACATATATGCATATGTATGCATATATAAGTAATTTTAAGACAGACATCAGACAGGAGATATTGGCAACAGAGAAAATTTAAAAAAAATTAATGTTAATAATTGTAGCTAAATTAAAGTGATCCATTGAACTATTTGGAGCCTTATCTAATGATTAAATAGGAAATATGTTATTGACTATGTCCTTTTCCAGTAATTTGAAGTGCAAAGAAATATATTTACAATTTAATTTGGACACCAGTTTCTCCAAAATTTTTCATATGCTCATCTTCATTTTGTTAATGTAAATAACTTACTAGACATGTAATATTTTATTATACACATTACTTTCAGAGGATTACTTACAAACATATTTTCCTCTTTGTGTCTTTTTTTCCAGATATCTGTTGAGGGAAAATCTCAAGCTTTCAGTATGGAAATCCGAACTCTTTTCTATGACATTCTTTGTGCTCTTGTTAACCCAAAGCGCAAGGACACTCGGGGATTCAGCCACTTTGCTGATGTGACTGAGAGTTTTGCCTTTTCTCTGTTGACAGATGTTACCTGTGGCTCTCCTGGGGAAAAGTAAGTATCTTCTATCACATTAGCATTAGCTTCAATGCCTTACTGTGTTGTCTACAAATCCCTGTGCAGTGGACATCAACATAGAGGTGATGTAACTAAGAAGTACATGGTTGGTGCATGGTACCTGTTGTCAAATTAGGCTAACTTTTGGAAGAAAACCTAGCAGCTCCCTCAAGAGAAACCAACTCATTTTTTTGCCACCATATTTTAAAGACAAGGTCCTGATGTCTGTTTCCATTTATTGAGTGAGCAAAGGATACATTCCCAAGGGAAGGAAGGGAGCCAGTTCCAGTGTTATAGAGAGTTTTGATGTGCTGGACTTGTGCTTTCCCCTGGAAATTATGGTTATTTCTTCTACTTGAAATCACTCTCTAGCACTGAGTTTCAGGCTATTTGTTTTATGACTGGAGTTCCTTGGCAGGAAGCTAGCCCAAGAAGAATGAAAAATTAAATATAGCTTATATTTATTAGTAACCATGGAATTAATCATATAGTTTTATATTCATATTGTTCAGTAGAATGATATATTAATTGTATTTATAATATTTGTAGTCCAAAGACTTGAAAATATTTTACTCCTATTCAACAACACAAAAATGACTCATAAATAGGTTTTCACAGTTAGTCAATTCAGAAGCAAAAACATTGCCAGAGGAAATGAAAGGTAAAAGAATAATAATATAAATGGTATTAACTTTACTTCTGATACAGTCCTGACATTGTATTAAATTGAGTAATATGAATTGATGTTTTGTAGATAAAACATTACAATATTAAAATTTTAAAAGGATTAACTTAATCCTTGCTAAAAGTTGTCCATATATTATTTTATTTTGTGAGAAATAATTTTAAGTAGTTATTCAAAGTAACCATTAGTTATTACTTCTATTTACAGTATTGAAGCTGAGCTAGAGACATGACCCAGAACTTGATTAGTTTACACTGAATATGGCTGATTCTCAGGCCCACTTTACCTCATAGCCCCTGCAGCTCCCATGCCCAGTTTGGTAAGAAGATTCTATAGCTTTAGCTTGATAACAAGGCCTCACCTACTTCCCCAGGGGTCCATAATGCCTAGACTTTCATCCCAGATCAATGCTAGGGTGTGACAAGGTGGACATACAGAACCAACATCCCCCTACACTGTACCATTTTTCTTTTATCCTTACCCTGTGAGTCCTAAAGATTGAGAGGACCTTCCTTCCTTCCTTCCTTCCTTCCTTCCTTCCTTCCTTCCTTCCTTCCTTCCTTCCTTCCTCCCTCTCTCTCTCCCCCCTTCCTTTCACCTCCCTCCCCCCTCCCTCCCTCTTCTTCATAGTACTAGAGCTTGGACTCAGGGCCTCACACTTAGTAGCCAACTTCTCTAGCTCTCAGATCATACTTTTAGCCCTCATATTTTCTTCATGGGGGAAGGAATATCAAAATCCTACAAGAGTATTTCTTCCTGCAGGAGGCTCTTTACCAGTTCTCATCACTCTTCCTAAGTCTCCCATCAGAAACCAGATTAGCAGTTCCACGCTGGTAACTTCTGTAACTGTTTCTAACACTGTCTCCCAATACCTCTGACATGGATCCTTTGTTTACTGCAAGGAAATTTGCACTAAGATCATAGATAGTGCTTGTGTGAGGAAAAGTCTGCCATCATTTTCCCTTGAACTATGCCTGACTATATTGTTCAGTTAAATTACACAATCAATAGTATTTCAGTTCCCCTAATCTTTTTATTTTCCCCCAATTTTGGCAACATCATCAGGATATCAAAGTTTTCTTTCTTTTTAAAAAAATAAGATTTTTATTGTGAAAATACTGTACAGAGGGGTTACAGTTACATGAGCAAGGTAATGAGTACATTTCTTACCCAGCATTGTTGCCTCCTCCTTTGTTTCCCCTTCCCATCCCATCCCTTCCACCTCCTCAATTACACCCCTATCCCCCACCCCTGCCTAAATTGTAAGGTTTGTTTTTTGACATAGCGTCTTATGCATCTCATTGTTGCAATGGGTCCACCTGTATTCCTATTTAAACATTTTGATTTTTCCCTTCCCCACCCCAAATTATACTAACATCAAATACAGTGAAAACAGGGGTTATGCCATGGGGGAGGGACATACAAAGCAACAAAAAAAATCATGTGGTACCTTATAAATACATCAGAAACATTAGCAAGGAAGAAAAAACCACTTGTGTCCCTATCTTGTGGTTCATTTCGCTTCACATTATCTTTTCTGACCTTTTCTGCTTGTCCCAGATATATACTAGTTATTGCAAATTGGCTGTGAATGCTGAAGATCATATAGTGCCTTTAAAGGTTTATGAAAGCTTAAATGGGTTTCTGATGCACACCAAGAGTAGTCTTTTCTGTCTTAATGTTTAATGTATTCTCAGAGCCTGGAATATTGTGGCAGAATCTCATTGGTCATAGTATAATGTGTGAATAGAATGGCTAAGTAAATAAGTATCCTTTCTGCTCTGTGCAGATATACAGGAAAGAAAACCTCATATCCAATGACAAATTAGTCAATTCAGTTTTCTTAAGAGAATATCAACACAGATAAGCTAAGAATGTGTGTGTGTGCATGTGTGTGTGTGTGTGTGTGTATGTGTGTGTGTGTGTAAGAGAGAGAGAGAGATTTCAGGAACATGCTTAGAATAATATTAAATATGAAGAATAGATGAAAGCAAGAATAGGATAGAGTTATTACATATAGTGTAATTGCTCTAGTAAGAGAAGATGAAGGCTGAAATTAAACCAGAAACATGGAAAGTGTTACCTTGAAGGCAATTATGTGATAAAAATAACATGCAGCCCATGTAATTGTAAGCCCTCTCTACAGTATTTTCACAATAAAAATAAAATAAAATAAAATAATGAAAAAAATAACATGATCGTGACCAATTGAACACAAAGAATAAAATAGCAGTCACAATGGGTTTCTTTTAATCAGGAATCCCTAACGATATTGAGTGCTGTGATATGTATTTATCTGTTGTCTTAAGCATTCTCAAGGGCATTTGTTGAGAGTAAAGGGACTTGGAAATGTAAATAATGATACTGTGGAGGAGAATGGAATGCAGGGCAGTCACTTAGAAGCCAAGTGGTCCCAAGGTTCCAACTGAGGTTGGCCATTGCAGATTTGTAGTGATACCAATTATTCCATTCACTTGGTCTTCCTTATGTCAGTCTCAGTCTGAAGCAGATTGTGGAGTTGAAGGTGAATATATTTGAAGGCATAGACACAGGAGGTTAAGGTGTCAGGGAGAATCTGGTTATGAGCAAGCAATTTGGCCCACTTGTATAAAGGTTTGTGGAGTCATTGTGCAGTGTAGTGTTGGCTTGCCAACTCAGCAGAATACATGGCTGTTTTGACTAGGTGAGTCTCAATAGCCTGAAGGCAGAAGAACTAAAGGGCTGTGCAGCTAGAGGTTCAATGTCTCAGATGCTTCATGCAGATTCAGTGGTCTCAGGGCTTTTACAGTGACATTCTTAGGCTGAAAATCACCAGGGACAGTATGGAAGGCTAGGTAGAGAGATTATAAATTGAGTTCTTGACAAACTGTTGGGAAGATATATGCAACCAAAACAAATAGAAGTATTTTCATAGGAGATTTGATGTTGTTATAGTCAAATCTTGAACGAATAGGCAGCTTGATGTAAGTTATTTGATGGGACTGATTAAATTATGATTATTAAAGCTTTGATGATTTATTTTTCAGAGAAGTTACATCAAGTAAAAACCCTTTACTCTTTTCTTTCTTAATTGAGTCTTTCATTTAAAATTCTCTCTTCTGGTTGAGTATCGTGGGATATCCTATAATCCTAGCTATGCAAAGCTGAGGGAGGAGGATTGTGGTCCAAGGCTGAACTCAGCCCCCCCCCCCGCATGAGACCCCCGCCCCCGCCCCCACATCTGAGGAATAAAGTAAAAGCAAAAGGTGCTGGAGTCTTGGCTCAAGTGGTAGAGTGCTTACCCAGCTGAACAAGGCCCAGATTAAAATTTCAGTACCACCAAATACAAAGCAAACAAAACTCTTCTGCTCGATTTCATACTTTGTATTTCACACTTTCATGCTTTCATACTCTGTATTTGTTTTGATCTGTATAATTGTTATCATTGGATCCATCAATGCCGTACTAATATCCTAATATTTTAAGGCACAGATTTAATTTATTTTTGTATCTTATTGTTTTCAAAGATGTTGACTCTATGAACAGGTTGCAGATTTTCTGGGGAACTGGTTACAAATGTAAATTCCAGAAACTAGCAGCCCCCCCCCCCACACTCTATCTTGGATAAAGGTTCTGAGTTTATAATTCTGGAGTGAGTGTAAACTAGAAATCTATTTTAAACCGAGTCCACATAATGTGAACACACATTGAGGCTTTAAAACGATTTCACGGAGCACAGTGTCTTATTTTTCCCTAGGAGATCGAAAACAGAATTTCTAAATGAATAAAAACCATAGGTTTTTCTTACCAGTCAAATAATTACATTTTCTGTGCTCATGTGTGTTAAACATGAGGTGTCTGTAGATGAAAATATGGTGCCAAATCTATAAGGTTTGTGAAGTTCTTAAGTAAAACAGAGGGCTTCTGTTTAATGGGCCATGCTCTCCTCTGCCTGTTTCCCCAATGCTGATGTGACTAACACAGAAAAGTCCATTTTACTGACACAAATTGTATCTTGATATCCGTGAAACAGCTTCTAAAAACTCATGTTTTAGGTTACAAGGCAGATCAAACAAAATGTTATACTAGTTACTTTAGCAAGAGCTGAGAGCTGATTGCTTCCAGTGGTTCTGGATTATTAGTATCCTTTTTATACAGGAAGAAGAGTGTCCCAGTGTAAAGATATGAAAATATGTAAATGCACCTCACTTGAGCAGACTTCATCTCTCTTTTATAGAAGCAAAACCATCCTTAACAGTTGTCCCTATTTGTCAATACTGGCGCTTCACTGGTATCCTCAGCAAATTAATGGGCACAAGTTTGAAGGAAAGGAAGGTGATTACATTCGGCTTCCAGAAAGGTTATTGGATGTGGCAGATACAGATATAATGGCTGGGAAAAGTACATGTAAATTCATCCAGTTTATGGAATACAGCAGTCAGCAGTGGTTTGTAACTGAAAACAACCTTCCTGCTCTGAAAAATAAGGTATTCTCTCATTTAAAAGCTTTTGTGATTGTAATTGTGTGATTGTAATTTTCCTTTCTTAGCTGATACATGCAGGATGCATTTATTCAATCAGATTTTTGCTGCACAGAGAGAAATAACATGAAAAATGGTGAAAGATCGTGAACCATGTTCCAAAGTTATAAGCCATTCATAGAATGCTTGGTTTCAAAAACAGTTGGGAATGTTTCCTTCACCTTTGATTGAATAAAATGTCTATATGGATGAAGTGAAAAGTACAACTTCCCTCATACAATATCTTCTCATGTGCTTTGCTGTTGATGTAGTCAGCCAGTTAGAGTATTGCCAGCTGAAAATATGTATGAGGTGAAGGTCAAATGTGCACACTGGGAAACCAAACAGAAGACCGGGACTCATAACTGAACTAGTTATCAACACTGGAAAGGAACAAGTGACTTCAGTTATTAGAAAAATGAAGTCCAGTTCAGAGTGGGAAATACTCAGTCAGAATACTGATGGAAAATGTCATTAATGTTTTTGTTCCTTTTGGCATTGTAGGTGCTCTCTGTGAATGTGAAAGGTCAGAGTTCACCACTCCTGTCTAACAACAATGAGGTTCGGTATAGGATTTATGCTGCTGAGCAGAGGCTTATTCCTGAGACGGCTCTCTGCCTCCTCTGGAATCGGGCTGCTGCAAGGTATTTACTGAAAAAAATTTTATACACTTTTTATTGTAAAAATACTGTACAGAGGAGCTACAATTACATGAGTAAGGTAATGAGTACATTTCCTATTGAGCGTTGTTACCTCCTCCTTTATTTTTCCCCTACCATCCCTTCTCTTCTCATGAGCCTAATTTTTTTTTTGTTTTTTGTTTTTTGGGTCTGGTCGTGGGGTCTGAACTCTGGGCCTGGGCGCTGTTCCTCAGCTCTTCAACTCAAGGCTAGCGCTCTACCACTTGAGCCACAGCACCACTTCGGCTCTTTTCTTTTTGCTTATGTGGTGCTGAGGAATCAAACCCAGGGCCTCATGCATGCAAGGCAAGCGCTCTACCACTGAGCCACCTTCCCAGCCCCCTAATTTTTTTTTATACTGAGCATCAATGGTAGTCTCAGATGCTGCTTCAAACTGGTGCATAATCCCTACCATAAATGAGATCAAACAGCATAAGAAATGGTCTAGTGTTGTTCAGATGGGAAATGTAGCCTAGCGATGTACATATGTGTGTAGCACATTACAATTCTTTTCATGGACTATAACATGAAATCAACTCAAGACAGTTAACTTTTTGATTTTTTTAGTCAATTTGTTAGACAAGAATGGAAATTGCTTTTTTTTGTACTGCTGACATCTTGCTTGATGATACAGGAGGTGGTGCTTTATGCTTAGAGGAATCAACAGGATTTAGAAATCATGTCCACAAGATCCTGGGGTACATTTGAGGGTTAAACCAAGAGACAGGCTCAGGGGGAAGAGATTAGTCTTTTTTTGAGTCTTGTTGGCCTGCAGAGTCAAGTCTCTGAGCCATTACTGTTGCGCAAAGCTCAGGTGATACTGCAGGGAATGGTAATACTGACTGAGAGGGTGAAGGCCCAGTCACTAGATTCTATTTATTACTAAGGTTAAGCTATATGAACTAAATTTTAAAAATAGATTCCTAATTAGGAAACTGTCTTCTAAAACATGAAAAGTCTGGTTAGTATCTTTCTCTGTGGAAACAACAAGAAAAAAGAACTATTTTGAAATGAAACTCCCAATATTGGCAATGGTATGATACTCTGTAATGATGACTGACCATTGCTGCTTGTCAGCTGAATGATTAAAAGAGTAAAGAACAGAGACTCTACCATGTGTTTTGTTAATGAAGCAATACTTTTCAGGACGTAAGAGGTAGCACCTACATTTTCACCTTCTAATATTTTCAATTTCTGATGGGTTCATCAAGATCTAGCCTCATCATAAATCAAAGGCCATCAATACATACAAAAATGATCTGTAATCCTCAATGTAGAAGTAGCAATAAAAAATTTCAAGCTTAAATCTGCAGTGTGGGTCAGGAAGTTGTCCTTAGAAGAGCAATGGAATCCAGATTCACCAAAAGGGCAGAGGCTGAAGCAATAATCCCTGAGAAATACAAAGTGATTCAGACTTCAGAGAAGGAAACACCTGAGGGACCTGGGAAACATGTGACACAAATGGTTCTAAAAGAAAAGGATGAGGAAGGAAGCAGAGGAATGTGTAGAAGTAATTTATATGGTTGGGAATACAAAAGTGTCTATACACATAAGGAAGATGGAAATAATACATTTTGTATCTGTGTCAATCTGTTGGGGTTTGGGTGAGTTGGCTAGAGCATAGCTGGGGATGGACACAGCTCTGTGGAGAGGGCTGGCTTCTTTGTTACAGGGAGCGCTCTAGCTTTGGTAGGTGTGCTGGTATTTATAAGGCTTCCTAAGGTGTCTTTGTGGAATCTGTTGGGTTATATCCTGGACAAAATGTTCCCTCCAGAGTTCCTTCTTGAAAATGTGGCCTGTGTAAGTCTTGAGCAAAGAACATTTAAGTTTAGCAAGTTATTTTTCTCTGTAGATGCAGTCTCAACATGTGAAGGATGAATGAAAGAGGAGGATGACTCTTGTGTTTTTCTTTAGCTGGTTGTCTGACAGTCAGCTTTGCAGAGTGGTGGAGGATGCTTCCGACCATGTGGAATGTGCCTGTTCTCACATGTCCCTGTATGCCGTCTACTCCCAGACTGACAACTTGTCTTCGTACAATGAAGCCTTTTTTTCCTCTGGATTTATATGCATCTCAGGTCAGTGACAGCATTTTGACTCAATAATTTTAAAATGTTTATAAGAATAAAAGTCTGTTTCCCAAAGTTATTTCCTATGTGCATGATATAAACATATCACTTTCTTGTCATCTTATCCATTAATCCATACTACGGGTACTGATGTTTAGGATAGAGCAGAATGTTAGTATATAGTAAGAACAAGATATAGTTCTAACTCTCAAGGAGAATACAATGAAGTGGGGAACAGAGGCCAGATAATAGAAAATATGGCAGTCTATGATGGTATGTTTTATTAGATTCTACAGTTTAACGATTAGGATTTTGTGAGGCAATGCACACAAATCATTGTGTATTTTCAATGAAAATAACCTGACCTATGGGTTGATTTGAATTTTACACACAAGGAGGTATAGATATGCCAACCATTATATATCAAAAAATAAATCGTGTTCTTATTCCATATTTAGGCCCCATTTCTATCAGTAGAAGGAAATTTAATTTTACTTATGTCTTGATAACTATTTTCCCCAATAATTGTAGATTATAGCATTATTTTCACTTCCTGTATTTACACATTTGGAAGTCTAAGAAATCTTTACACTGTGTTTTTTATCTTCTCTCCTCCACCATGCCTCAATATATGTTTTATGGCTTCTTGTTTCTGTGAACAGTGTGCTCTTCACACAGCGCTGGGTATATATAAGGTAATAGTTACAAACACAAATCCAGACTGCCTTGGTTCAAATATTGGTGTTGTCTTTAGCCAATTCTAGGACCTGGAATAAAGGATTTAGCTTAGTATTTCCATACTCAATATATAATTTTACATCATATCTATACAACAATGGGTTAACTATATCAACTCACACATCTATCGTTTTCTTCTTTAATTATGTTTTACCAGTAAATGTGATTATCACGTAATATGTATTTTTAAATTTATTGTACAAAGAACCTCCTTAACAATATTTATCTATTAGGAAGTTGTTTGAGATAAAAATCAAATAATTACTGTTTTTTATTCTGGTTATTAAAATAGTTATTAATATAGTTAACATAATTTTATAGTTATATATTTTCATTTATAACTCTTAATTCCAAATTTAAATTGGTTTCATCGGCAAAGCCAAGAATTTCTCTTTTTTTGGGGGGGGGTCCGGTCGTGGGGCCTAAACTCTGGGCCTGGGCACTGTCCCTCAGCTCTTCAGTTCAAGGCTAATGCTCTACCACTTGAGCCATAGTGCCACTTCCAGCTTTTTATTTCTTTTTGCTTATGTGGTGCTGGGGAATCGAACCCAGAGCCTCAGGCATGCAAGGCAAGCGTTCTACCACTGAGCCACCTTCCCAGCCCCAATAATTTCTTATTCTGAAGAGTTTCATTAAGAAGCTAATAGCTGATTTGATAATGAAATTATGATAATTTGATTTTATTTGGATTTGTCTATTCAGGAGGCAGATATAGCTATATAGAAAGATTGATTAATAGGTACCAGATTTACTATTCAGAAATATTTCAAAATAATTTGTGGGAAAATACACTGCCTTAATGAAGAATGTTGCTAAGAACATTAAACACAAACTATAATCTAGACTATAAAGGCTCATCTGTTCTTGGAAAAAAATATTGAATATACTTAAGATTTAAAAAATAAATACTTACATATCCTTCTCTATTAACTAACAGATAACTATGACACATTATAGTTAAATGCTAAGAAAATCTAGCACATTTTCCTGCCTCTGGTTTGAATCCTGGGCTACCACCAGGTGTCATGATAGCATTTTTATTGAAATTTCACGTGCCTAATTAAATATTTCCAAGCTAGTCACATTTACTTGCACTAAATTTGTATCATGCAATAGGAGTGAAATGGGGGCTGACCAAGTTAGGGGAAAAGGCTATTAAAAGCTCTTATGAAATAAAAAGAATAATAACAATACTTTGGGTCATCCTGTAACAATGAGATGTACAAGACACTATGTTGAAAGAGAACTTTACAACTTTCGGGGTGGTGGGGAGGGAAGAGTTAGGGAGATGGGGAGGAAAGGGTTGGAATGGGAAAAACAGAGGAGGTAATATATATATATATATATATATATATATATATATATATATTTAAAAAAACAACAATGCTTTTTGCCCTATGCCAACACTAATGCTTTTGTTTTACACTGTTATCATCTACCATGATTGGCTTCATAATAAAACACATATTTGTGATCGTGTGATTTATGATTAAAAACTTGTACGGTACTGCTTTTAAGTCAATATCTCTCTCTTTCATACACACACACACACACACACACCATGAATTTTAGTGAGTTGTGACCATCCTATGGAACTGAACATATTAGTGAGTCTTGCACAACAGCTCCAATAGTATAGTTATTAACTAAGTAAAGTTGCAGAGCTAGACTTCAATTACTGTCTAAAGACAAATGGTGCATCTTGTGGGTAGGTTTTGGAAGCAACCCAAAAATCGCACAACTGTCCCAGAACATATGATGCCATTTCTGGAATAAGATAGATTGCCCCAGGTTTTTTGAGCAAATATCCAAATTAGAGGCCTTGAAAAATGCAGAGTTTTGCTTCCTGGGGATCTTAGTATACCTTATTAAAATACAAAAATTTAACTGAAATATTTTTCCCCAAAGGATTTTGAGAAACATTTCTAAGCTGAAAATGAGTCATAAGACCGTATGTGGGCATTGTGCAGATGTGCATTCAATTTATGTTCATTTGTGGTATTTGCCAACAGCCTGTTTCATATTTCCAGAAAAGATGATAGAAGAAAACACAATGTCAAGTGAGCACAGTGTTTCCTGTTTATCAAGGAATCATGGACACAACTGCATAGTGTGATGTGAAGTAGATGACAATGCGGTGTTCCTGTGTTGGTTGATGAATGCCTCAGTGATTCTTAGATAAATAATCCTATTGAAGACATGAAGGCAAAGGGGACTATCATATGTAGCACACTTAAGTTTTAAATGACATAAATATTCTTAAAGTGGTCAGACTTTAAAATCTGGTATTAAAAGAAATTTATGTGATAATCTGTAAACACCGGGTTTTTGTCCATCCTCTTGAAATAGTATAAACGGGTAAATTCAAATAGATTTGAAGGTAATTACAAAAAATGAAGAAAATTACAATAATCTTCTTTATGACACATAAAAACTGAAATCTTTAAATTTGTTCAGGGGAAAACAAAAACATCCTCTTATTCTTTTTGTGGTCTCAGGTTGAATAAAACTTCATAATTGGAACTGTTGTAGTTATGGTGCTCTTGCTAGTAGTCTCTCTTCTAAAAAAAGGTAGGAGGCACTGTCAAATCTGAATATTGGTAGTCGCATTCATACTTTTATCCCTAGAAATGCTTATTCCTTTCTGAGTATTTTTATTATGTCAGGCCATTGTTGGTGAAATTAGATTATAAAGGCATAGTAGATTTTTTTCTTAAATAGAAATATTGGATGAATATGAACTAAGAAAATTGATGATTTACCAATATTATTCATCTACTTCTTTGGGGATTTCTTTTCAGTAAGGAAGTAAAGGTAGGTATTTGAAAAATTAAAGCTATTCTTTGGGTGTAATTGATAGGTGTGCAGATTTTATGAATCATATGAAATAGAATGGACAGAAATGGTACAGTAATCTTTTCCAGGACCTCTGTGGTGTACAGCCTAGATGAACCTCTGTGCTTATGTGTTCCAACAACTCCTACTATGCACTATTTGTCTCTATGGATTATGAAACCACACACAGACTCTTTTGTTTTTTCAGGTCTTTGCTTGGCTGTTCTTTCCCACGTCTTCTGTGCCAGGTGCTCCATGTTTGCAGCTAAGCTTCTGACTCATATGATGGCGGCCAGCTTGGGTACACAGGTAGGAGAACTCAGGAATTCCCTACTTGTCCTGAAATGTTCATGCTTCCTCTTCTATAATCCTTGACCTCAATGTCCAGGTAAAGTGCACTTCAACTGAGTTGAAATAAGCTTGTTTAGTTTTGCAATGAAGAGGGTGAGTCTAGTAGCATAAAGGAATGTGAATATTAGATCAAAAACACATATTTTGTGAACTCCTTTCTATGGAGAAACACTTTAATGATTACTGCTTACGAGAAAATAACTTCATTCTAGTGCATTCTATTGTCATCTAACTTATGCTAATAATGTTACATGTGGTCAAATAAAATATGCTGTTAGAATTGCTTTATAGGAGGGGCATTAAGACGATGTATACCATGGCTGGGGGAAATCTCAATAATAGAGTATAAGTGGTGCTCTGGGTTTAATCTTTACACCCAGAAAAAGAAAACGAACAAAAATAGATAGGCACACTGAAACATCTGAGTACATGCATTGTTTAACATATACATTTTGGAAGGCATTCTCTTTTGGAATATTGTGCACTCGTTTAGGGCGGAAGAAATGGTATGAAAAAAATCAAATTATTCATTGGTATGCAATTTAAAGCACACAGTGAAAACTAAGGTACAGCATTCTGATCACCAAAAGAACTTCTCTCTCTCCAGTGCTCACAGCCTAGTGAAGAAGTTATAAATGAAAAATCATGTCATTCATAGGGGATCATGTACTATTTGAGAACTATCCTGAATATAGCAGATAAGAACTTGGTTCATTTTGTTTTTATAAAGTTTGAGAAAGTGTCTACAGAAGAGTGATGTGTGTGTGGTAGGACAGAACTGAGAAAACTTTCCCACCGCTCATTGAGATGGGGAAAGAAGAACACAGATATTGTATAGGAAAAGAGGAAAAAAACATAAACATTTCCATTATAAAGTTGAAATTATAGATTGCGTTATAACATATGTTAAATCGTGTTTGCTGTGTTCTTTTTGAAAAGAATTAGCTATTATTTTTTAAAAATTGTGAATTCTCTTTTCTGGATGGGGGTCACATCTGGAGGACAGACAATGCTTTGTCTCTTTATTTGGCACTGGTTACCTGTGTGTATTCACTTGGAGTAGGTGCATTGTCTTGTGCACTTATCTGAACACACTATCCTTTAAATGCTAACGCATATTGCATTGATCTCTCAGGAGAACTTTTAACAATGACATCAGTGGAGGGGATAAAATGGAAAATGATCCTGAACATTGGCATTTGGTTGCCTTTTTTTTTTGTCCCAAGAATGAAAATGAACTTGTAAATGTCACAAGTTTATTTTTTTCAGAGAATAATCCAGGACTAGATTCCAAGTAGAGGCTCCCAGACTGTGCTTTGAAAGGACCTAGAAACTGAACTATGGATAGTAGCAGTTGTTGCCAAAAGAGGGCTTGCACTGAATTTGAAAGGACTATTCATGTGACTTCCATATCCTGTCTTAGCCCTCTGATCTTGCATTTGCTTCTTGTATGTGAGATCTTAAGAACCAGCCTTTCATAATTAGAGTTTATTTGACTGTATTCACCACCCATTTTGGTAATTGTTCGAGAGCACTATTTGTATACAACTTAATTACAGTACTGCAGAATGGCACACAGTTCTTTGGCATCCTAGCAGACACATTTGCTAATGTCTAGGGATGTGAAAGAAATAGAATTAATAGGTCGAGTCATTCCTTCCGGTTCACATTGTATTCAACATCGATTTTGCACAAAATGCTTAGGTAAATGCACCAAAAATTTCAGCATATTTTTAGAACACAAAGCATTGAGACATGGAAAAATCATATACTATATACTTTGTGATGTGAAATTAAAATATTTTTAGAGCTTAGCGAAGGAAATTAGAATGTTGTTGATGGACAGTACTGTTTTTTAAAATGGTCTACCTATCTACTTGGAATTTTAAGACATCCTCTTTGTTAAAAATCTTTAGCTAAGGCTTTAAAACATTCTTAGGCCCTCCAAAATTAGAAATAAAGCTGACTATAGGAACTCAGGCTCCCCACTCCTTAGTTTTAAAGAATTTATAACTATAGTTACCATATGTTGCTGATGGAAATCATCACAGATCTGATCTTGATCTCTTATCTGGGATCCTCCATCAACATTATGTTGATATTATTAGAAGTTAAATGTTCTCAAGAGTACTCTTCAGAAATACAGATCATTCTGAGTGAGGTAAACCAAGAGCGAAGAGACAAATGGCATGCGGTCTCCCTGATAGGTGGATGCTAAAGCAAAAAATGCAAGGAGATATGATAAAGTAAACAGTACTTGAGAAACAAAGGATAACTCATTTTGTTGTATCATTGCTAAATGACTCCATGTTCTTGACCATATATATGGTGTGTGTGTGTGTGTGTGTGTGTGTGTGTGTGTGTGTGTGTGTGTATACATGCAATGAAGGAAAGCTGGGAGGGAGATGCAGAATAAGTGGGAAATGGAACAACAAACAGCAAAGGGGCCCATCAGCTGTACTGGAATAGATGAAAATGAACTAAGCAACCCAAAAAGAGCAATGAGAAGGGAGGAATAAGAGGGAACAAATTACACTAAAGCAAAAGGAAAGAAATGTAACTATCACCTGATGTGGAAGAAATAATTGTATTGTCAAAGCCCATAGAATTCACAAACCTTATAGACCATGATAATGACAATTTGCTTTGTGAAGGTTAAAATGTGTTTGTGACTTTAACTAAGTATCACCAGTCCACAACGCTGTAAAATATGTGAAATTTATGTAATCACCTAATCTCAATTTAAAAGAAAAGTGAGAGAAGGGATGGGTTGGAAGTGATGGGTGACAATGTTGTCAGATACCTTGTATTCATATACTGTTTTGTAGAATGGGAACTTCTTTATACAACTTCTTAAAGGTAGTAATAATAAAAATACAGATTTGACAGTAGTTCTTTTTATTTTTGCTTTTAACTCAGGGCCTAGGCACTGTCCTGAGCTTCTTTATGCTCAAGGCTAATACTCTACCACCTGAGCACAGTGCCACTTCTGGCTTTTTCTGTGTATGTGGTACTGAGGAATTAAACCCAGGGCTTCATGCATGCTAGGTAAGCACTCTACCACTAAGCCACCTTCCCAGCCCCAGTAGTTCATTTTATTTAACGTTTAATTTTGTTGTTATTATTAAGGTAGTATGTAGAGGGGCTACCATTTCATGAGTCACATAGTGAGAGCATGCATTTCTTTTTTTATTAAAAAGTTTTTTTATTGTGGAAATACCATACAGAGGGGTTACAATTACATGAGCAAGGTAATGAATACATTTCTTATCAAGCATTGTTGCCTCCTCCTTTGTTTCCCCTTCCCATCCTCCCCCCGCCCATACCCATCCTCTCCCGGCCAAAGTTATAAAGTTTGTTTTTCCGACATAATGTCTTGTACATTTCATTGTTGCAACGGGTCCACCTGTATCCCTATTTAAACAATTTTGTTTTTTCCCTTCCCCTCCCCAAATTATACCAACATCAAATACAGTGAAAACAGGGGTTATACCATGGGGGAGAGACATACAAGCAACAAAAAAATCATCTTATAAATATGTTAGAAACAATAGCAAGAAAGAAAAACCATTTGAGTTCTTATTTTGGGGTTCATTTCACCTAACATCAACTTGTCTGACCGTTTCTGCTTGGCTCAGACATATACTAGTTATTGCAAATAAGGGGAACCATGGGACCCATGTTTCTTTGGGTCTGGCTTACTTCACTTAATATGATTTTTCTTTTCTTTTCTTTTCTCTTCTTTCTTTCTTTCTCTCTTTCTGTCTCGTTCTTTCTTTCTCTCTTTCTCTCTCTTTCTTTTTTTCCCTTTTTTTTTTACAATGCCACCTCTTCCTTTGTTTTCCCCCAGTTCCCCCTTCACCATCACATAATTTTCCACATACGTAGTCAACTGGTAGTTCTTGAATCTTTATTGCTGACCTAGGATTAAGCTCAATGACTTTTGAGTAGAAGGAAAAAATGGAAACGTGATCATCCTTGACTTCCTTTTGGAACAATGCAGTACCATAAATCTGAATCAGGTAGTCAGGAAAATGGGCTATTGGCTGGCTCTACTTGTAGAAATATATAGAATAATATATCCAGAAATAGGAATATGATGTATTGCATTTATAGCCGAACTAGAAGATAGATAAGAATCTGAAGATGGTTTTGCTTTAAAAGTCAAATAATACTTCATTCTGGATGGTGTTTGTCATTGTAGCGCCATGGACTATAAAGCACCAGCAGGTGGCAGTAGAATATTTTTCTCAAACTGGTCAGTACTTACCAGCGATAAGGGTCACTAAAAAAACAAAAACAAACAACAAACAACAACAAACAAACAAACTTAAAAGGCACTTTCATGGATGCTTCCTGGATGAGGCTAGAGGGTGCTTGTTTAAAGCATAGTATGTACACACAGTAGATTCCTGCCTTTGTCTTTATATTCCCTTTATTTAGAACTGAATTGAACATATTGATAACATGAGAAAGCTTAATTGGTTTATGTATTTCGATACATAATTGGTTTATGTATTTCGATACTATCATTTGGTTATATTTCAGCTTAGGGCATAAAACTATTTCAATCATATTTATTCTATGCTAAGAGCATCAGGAAGTATTTTGAGTATTTAATAAGTATTGATGTAGAAAAATTGTTTAGTAAAACTTTAGAGACAAAGTTTATACTTCTAGGTGTTTATCAGAAATGGATTTTTTTCTTCAATGCCAAGTTACATTTTTCTCATTTATCTAAAAGAGGACAAATAAATGGTAATAAGTTATAGGCCATTTGATTCACGCATGATAAAAAATACTTGGCATTGAGTGATATTTCTGGGGGGGGGGGAAAACATCTAATTATATCTTTGGGATTTGAATCTTAGAATCACATTGCCAACCCTCTGTGCCCTGATAAAGCTGGTAAATACCTGGGCCAAAGGACAAGTTTGCAGTTCAGGGTTCTGAGTTCC